AGGTTCATTGTCAAGTTTTTTGAATTCTCATATACTTGTATTTTGATTGGTCATTGCAGCTTATGTAACAGCATTTCCTCTAGCAAGGGGTGTTTGGTCAATTTGAACTTTTTAAAACCCTTTATTCGACATTCAGCACCATCATTTGATAAAACACCAGAAGTGTTAAAACAAAATGGCTATTTTTGTAGTGATTTATGTTATAATTTTCGAATAAATTATATTTGCTCTACTCTGTATTGAGCACTCTTTTAAGAATAATATTTTTGGTTATTGAAATTTATTCTACATACACCAATCTTATTCTTATATATATATATATATATATATATATATATATATATATATATATATATATATATATATTCAACACTCTCTCTCTACATATATATTTATATAATTAACACCACTCCCTAAGAACCAAATAATACACACACTTAACAGAGACACATCCCTTTTCCAATAAAACTGTCAAAATGACCAAGGGAATTCAGAGCAGCATGAATCCATCTAGCTCTTATCTAAAATAACAACTTAAAAGAGACTGTTTGACCAACACAAGGACTGACCAAAATTCATGTTAAAAAAATAAAAAAAACAAATGAAAACTACAGACAAAAGTTCATTTTCTCCATCATGTCATTTATTTCTGTAGTTCACTGCTACTAACAAGCAGAAATTTTTTTCTCCTGATGATGGCCATGTTGGCTGAAACTAGTCGAGGAATCTAACTGAAATAATAAAAATGAAAGAATATTTACAACCCAGTGTGTTTAATTTTTTAATATTTTTTATTGTTCAAAACATATATATATATATATATAATAAAACTGGCTTGAAGATTGAATTCAAGCACAAAACATATATATATATATATATATATATACCATGGTTTGACCAAGCTTTGTGAGTGAAATTGAGTATATGAAACTGCTTGGAAGTTATCAGTGGTTGTATTAGCATGAAGTCACAAGTTATTGTGACCAAGTTTTTGAGAATTTGGGTCTTGTTCAAACTACTGATCATATCAGATTGTGTGTTACCTCCCAGAAACTGTAGCTCATCATGGTTGTAGTATAAACCAACTGGTGAATTTTGTAGGTGTTAAACAAACACAAATATAATTGAGCAGGTGTCAAAAAATAAATAGTTAAAAATAATAATAAAGGCAAAAAGAAAAATACAATAAAATCAAAAAGTTTCAAAATATATAATAATGGATAGTGGATATTTGGGGGGAGAGTAGTTACCAAAGTCAATCTCGTTCAACAATTTTCAATAGATATTTATTTTTATGTCTGCATGTATCCATTAGTTCATTTCTTTTATTCAATACATTTAGATTATCTATATTTTGTAATATGGTAAGTTTTTCGAAAAGGCAAAGATTATTTATTTCACCTGTACCATTATCTGATTTTATTTTATCCATATGAAAATGGACTTCTCCCTTACCTTGCAAGTAGTTCGTAAATGAAGAAGAGTTAGGTTAAGCAGTTTTACTTTGTGTCAGATAATTGTATGAAACCTTGAATAGCACTGAGTATTGAGAAACAAAAATATAATTATTTTTAGTGTTTGTATTTATATATATATATATATATATATATATATATATATATATATATATATATATATATGTGTGTGTGTGCATTCATTATAAATTTAATAAATATAATCTTTTCAAAATTCTGTTTCCAAAAACAAATAGAAAATGTAACAAAATAATTATGGACCCAGTTGGAATCTATCTATCTATCTATCTATCTATCTATCTATCTATATATATATATATATATATATATATGGGAGAAAATGATATATAAATTTTTATAGACCAGATATACTTGGCAGAGCTTCTATTATCACAATGTGGGATACTTAATAACGAAAGTGGTAAAAATATAAACAAAAAGAAACTAAATGAAATTGACTGGACTATATATCCCAACACGTATTAAAAAAAATCTAAAAGTTTAAAATTTCAGTGTCCTCTCTCCTTCCTGTGCATGTCCATATATATCAACATAAACATCACTCTGGTGCAATAAAGTCCTAAAGGATGAAACATGTCACACAAAAGTTTTTCCAACATTATCATTAATTTTCTTATGAATATATATATATATATATATATATATATATATATATATATTACTTAAAGATTTTTTTTCAGTGAATACTCAAATATAACTACTTACTAAACCTTTTTTGCCTATATACATGTGCATCTAGTCAAATATGAGTATCCTCTAAAATAATGTAATAAAAATCTGTCAGATTAATAAATAAAAAATTCATCCATTTCTTTACAAATTGCTTTGTTTACATTAGGATACAAAACTGAGCAGATATGTCTATTTCAAGAGTCAGAGAAAAATCTGTTTAAAGGCTCTATTCAAATTTGCTTGGTCATTGATGCACTCTGTGGCTAAAAGGTCAAAGCACGTCAGATCTAATGAGGATTTCCTTTAATGGACTGCAGGTTCACATCCTGCCGGAGAGTGCATATTTTTGTCTTATAAGATTTCTCAAATATTCAGGCTGGGAGATGAAAATAAATAAATATACTGTTTAATAAATAAATGGAGCGTCTCCTAAAATACAAATATCCACTAAAAATAACGTTTAAGTAATAAAAATCTGTTGGATTAATAAATAAAAATCCATCCCTTTCTATATATCTAATTATATATATATATATATATATATATATATATATAATAATAATAATGGACTCTCCCTGTTGGTTTCGATGTATGAGGATCTGACAGCTTATTGATTCAGTTATGAAATTTTGTGCGATAATCTTAAGTGGCATTTAAGAACCGCTAGTGATTTACAAAGGAGGCCACATATGGAGCAAATGTGAGGATTATATATATGGGTTCACCTATCATTGACTTAACACCCCTCCCCATTATTTTAAACAGGAGTAGAGGTTTATCCCTTGTTTTCTGTTTAGGATTGGGTTTCTGATTTCTTCTAAAGTCTACTTCAGCACTATACTCCTAACATTTGTTGTTTCCTTTGCTAATATAACTCCACAGAGTAACCCTCTACCTTGAGTGGCTCTTGGGCCTTGTATTGGGTGAATATTAGTGAAAAATAGATATATACACACATACACGTGTGTATATATATATATATATATATATATATATGAATAAACAAGGGTTGCTGAAAAGTTACTGGCCCTACCCACTTACCAAAATCAATATTTCAATGGCCATATACACCAGTATACTGATTTTGCAAAGTAGTTCAGGTTGAGAACTTTTCAACACTCATTTGGTCTGAAGGTCAGATTTATGCATTAAACTGGCTGTCACTGTACAATGTTGATTCCTATGTCCAGGCTTTCTATATCTATAAATGCTCCATCTCCCATACTGAGCACTCTCCTTTATAAATATATAAACAACATTAAACAATGTGTGTGTGTTTGTGTATGTCTATGTGTGCCTGTAACTGTATCTGTGTGTGCACGTGTGCATTTACAAAGATATAAATGGTACACATTTCTGTTGTTGCTATAGAGATTAAGTAGTTAGCTGCAGGCTATAGATTTGATTTCTTGTGCTATGTTGTATAAACCCTTTCTCAACTCTTTGCACTTGTCTTGTCACTGGCCAATGCTGGCTATTGTAGTGAGGAAATGACTGGTTTACGGAGGCTGCTTGTTATGGTTGCCTAACTTTGTTGCAGATTCTTTTAAGCATCATCTTGTTGATCATTGTGCTGTGGATTTTAGAAGCAGCATTCTTATTGATCATGCTGTGGGTAGTAGAACTCTCAGTGGATCATTTGGTTCTAGGGTAACCTATTTAAGTATTGGGAGGAGGAGGAAGATGAGGAGGAGAAGCACTGAAAGCAGACAAGATGTTCATCTTGACAAAAGAAAATAGATTTTATTCAGTAGTTGCAAAATGCAGTTGTCTCAATGGATATGAGTTCAAGAAAGCAAAACTGTAATGCAAAATTGCAGCTTAAAGCGGTGAGTTTGATTGGTTGAGATGTGAAGTGAGGCAATTTTGCAGCTTGCAATACAATTGGTGGCATTTGCATAGCAAGGGTTCTCAGCACCTGAGATGAAATACAGCTTTGGTACCTCCAATTAACCCTGAAATGTTTCGTGCCTTTATTTCCCTTTGAATGACAATAAAAAAAAAAAATGGATTACTACTTTACCCAGGCTAATACTAAAGTCCCAATATAATAATTGTAAAACTGGGACTAATTGAATTAGACTAGATTAGATGTACTAGACTAGATTAGATGTATTAAGTATATTTACATGATTTGTATATCTTTTTGATATGTCATCCAATTATGTTCTTTTTCAATATAACAGAGTAAGACAATGTTATATCACTAGTTCAGAGTTTTCAAACTCACTTGGAAAGTCATTTCTTTGTGGTAGTATCAATGGTTTATCCAACAAAACAGAAAAAAATCTTGTAGATTTACTTGGATTTTTGTTTTTTACATCTTAACTTTGCTGGTTATTTAAAGCCAGAAAATATTTTAGATCGTAAGTGTTAACTATGCTGACTCTTGTTGTCCTACCTAGGATTGAACTCACCATCCATGGCTACTAAATTTGTGAAGATATTAGACTCCTGCTTCTCAGTTTAATGTATGTATTTTAAGCAGTGGCCATAGCTTGCCTCCCTTCCTGACAAAGTGGATTTAATCTTTAGGTATTATTTAAGTCTGGAAATTTCTCCTCAGGGGGAAATATTCTATTGTTTGATGAAGTGCTCAGTTTATTGAACAAGATTTTGTTTTCACAGTAAGAATTTTTTTGAGATAATAGTGATTTTAGTGATACAAGTGTTACTAATTAACCTATAACCAGGAGGAGAAGAGATGGAAATCATACCTTTCCCACTGGAATTTGCATATAAGTGAAAATAATGAACCCAACTGGAATTTGAACTTGGCTCTCCAATTAACAATTCTTAGCTATTATCCATTACACCACCCACACATCCAAGCTTACAGTGCCTTGTATTCCCAAATGGTCACCCATCTAGGTACTGATCAGGCTCAACGTTGCTTAACTTTTGTAATCACACAGGAACCAGTTTTTCAACATGATGTGGATGCAAGCCTCATGTTTTGGGGAAAAGAAAACTGAAAGCAAATCTCTTTTTGATGTTGTAGAATTTAATCAAATGAGACCAAGATCTACAGTATGCTATCTTCATCCGATTTGTTTTCATGGCAGAATAGCCAGAAGAGAAACGTTTCTCAAAGCAATATTGGAGATTTACTTAGGTTTATATTAAAAAATATATATTTTAAGAAACTTCTATTTATGGTTACATTAAGCTATATATGAACTTTTCTTGTTAGATGAAAATTTGCACCTGGGAAAGACTGCCTCATCTTTCTTCTACCTTGTTATGCCTCTGATTTGTGCGTGGGTTTGAAGCATAGTGGGCCATTATAAGGTAGCCAGTTTTGTTTTCAGAAGTATTTTTTTTTTCCTTTGCTGGTAGACTCTATTGATGGTGCTTTGTTTTAGTTAAGTGACTGTCCAGATTAGGATTCTTAACACCAAAAACCTGCTTACTTGGATTATAAAGGATTAAGAAATTTACTGACTCATGAGTTGGGGGTGTGATATTGATAAATGAAAGATATTTTTGTATCGGCAATTGATTGATGGAGACAAAACTGGTTAAGCTGGCACAAAATGCTTTCTGCTATCAAAGTTCAGCATAGAGAATATGCACAGCTGTTCATCTGTATTGCTCAAAGCCACCACAATTTAGTTCAAAGAGACTGCACAAGTTTATGTATATATGGAATTAAGACATCATGAATCATCTGTTCATGTAACTGGGTTCCATATCATCTGACTTCTTGGCAGCCAATAATCAGATAGCAGATTGATAAATGGAACCCATTTGTTAATTAATTTCATCCCTCATCTATTTGCTGGGAAACTTGCCAGTACTCTATCTTAATATAACTACTTCCAAAGTAATTAATAAAGTTATGACATTCATAAAGCATAATTTTTGTAATCCCATTTATATTAAGATTTCTGTTTGTCAAAAGTTGCCAAAGAAATTTTAAGCAAACCAGATGGTTTCTTTTAGACCAATTTAGAACTTTAGAATGTTTATTCAATGCTTTCTGCATCCAAATATACCTTCTTAATTCAATATTTACCTCGTCTTATTCTAACCCAATAATCAATGTTCTGAGATGCTTGGAATAACAAATAATACTTAATTCTACTAGTAAACCATAATACTTAATTCTACTAGTAAACCTGAAGTTATTTTCAGGTTTGAATTTGGACAATGTATGGTAGTGAATACTGGACAATTTTCTTACAGATGAAGAGGAGACTTGAAGAAACAGAGATGTGGTTCTACATAATAATAATGGCAATATTAGCCATTTCCTTAAAAGAAATATTCAGTATTTATTAACTGACAATCAGTGTTGCTTTTAGTTGAAATTCATAAAATCTTTCTTTGAAAACAATTTTTCAGGAAAATAGGTTTTTCAAATCCAGTAGGTGTTATTAATCTTTTCATTATTGATGGGTGTACCTCCTTCCTAACAATTTGTTTGAAGTAAGGTGAAATGTCAACATTTTGATTATGTCATTATTTTCACTTTGGGTTACATGTGGTATCCATTTTAGCTGTTGCTGCTGTTGACAATCTTCAAGTGATATGGTTTTTATTATTTGGTACGGGTCTTTGGGATTTTGTAGTGTCAGTCCACAATGTTTGAAGAAGGATGATCTTTGCAAAGACCCATGGTTTTCACTAACTCAAAGCCATTTTTAACAATTGATTTTAGAAAGCAGTTGTATACAGCTGACAGATATTTCTGAATGGGTTTGGTATGAGTTCAAAAATTGATGTGGCAGTTCATTTCCACAATGAAGTAAACAAATCTGAAGACCAAACTTGATGATCCAGGAGCAGAAAGAAATGTAGAAATCATGATTCACATGTTCAATGTCACAAATCTCAATACACATAAACAGTCAGAAATCAAGCACACTGGCCGATGGATGAGGTAGCAAAATAAATGAAAATTGTTTTCACCCAATTTGAGAACACCAACTGCTTTTATCAATGGAATAATTTTTTCATTGGCCGGGAGAGGAGAGATAATATTAGTATATCCAAGCTACATTTATGGCAACACCTGCGACTGACATATTTCTATTTTGGACAGAACATGTGTCCTTTTTCTTGGTAAGTAACTTTCTTTTTTGCCATATTTTCTGACGTAGAATACATGTGACATGCTGTCACTTGGTTTGATGAGGTAATTTGTCATTTTCTTTGAGATATAAATATCTGTTGTACATGGCATCCATATGAAAGTTTCGATCTGAGGAAGATATTTAAGAATATCACTCAAGTTTTCAGGTTAATGTTTTGGTTTTGTAAATTTGTTATAGCTAATCCATACTCTGTGGTATATGATGTATTTGGTATTTACTAATTCTACATCCTGAATTTTTTCCCCAAGGTATTAGTGCATGAACGAACACAATGGACTAGGCTGGAATTTGAAGTTGGTTCAGTGATTCCACTTTCCTTGCCAATAAATGTTACTCACACACCCATGCTGTTATTTTACATTTGTTATTGATTTTCTTGTCACATTTGTAAATACTTATCATCACAAGTTCATTAAAAAGTTAAAAATCTTAATTTCGATTGTAAACTGAGAAGTAAGGTAGGCTGAATACTTTTAAACTCAGTATTGCTGCCACACCTGGTCTGGTGATTCTGTTATGTATCTAGAGATTCTTGACAAAATTCCAAAAAGAATTTGCAATTTTAAAAGTCTTGACCTGGCATCATAGCTTCAATCACTTTCTTACAACCATAACATAACTTCTCTGTATTTCTTCTATAAATATTTTCATGGCAATTATTCTAATGAGCTTTTCTTTTTGGAACATCCATCTCACAAATTTAACTGTAATACTAGATTGGCAATTAGGTCTCATCATTTTACTTTTGAGATATACTGCAGCCATAGCAATAGTGGTGTATCTAGGGTAAGATAGTCTGATGAACAGAAGATGTAAGCTATAAATTGATCCATGCAGTGATGTTTTAAAAGAAAAAAAAAACTAGTGAAAAAATTCAACAATGACAATGCTTCATCTAAGAAATTCAAATGATTTTCTACTCCTCTTATACTAATTTCAAACTGTTTAATCATCACTGGGAAACTCACTACTATGACCTTGTGCCAAACTATGCTCTGCTGAGTAAATAACTGAGTTATTTTTGCAGTTGAGCTGATTAGATGTTTTTGATTAATTTGTTTTTTATGGCTTATCAACCCTTTGACGGTTATTTAAAACAAAAAGATATTTTAGATTGAAAGAATTATTCTTTTTTTGTATGAGTAAATATTGCAGTAACAATTTTTACAGAATAACAATGATTTTTCTAGTTACAAATCCTACTTAACTCATAGCTAGGGGAAGGTGATGAATTCATACCTTTCCCACAGGTATTTGAGCATAAGTTATAGGATCTTGAATAGACCATTTGCGAAGCGAATACAGAAAATTGACTTGTCATTGAATTAAGAATAAAGCCTTTTTGTTGGACTTTCATAAATAAAAGAAAAAATAAAACTTTTCTTTGCTATTCATTCATTGATTCAACTTATTTAATGTTTTAATTTACTTCTCATCAACATGTAATTTTTTTAAAGTCAATCTAACAATGCATAATATTCTAACATGAGAGAATACAAATGCAGACACACACAAAACAGAAAGAATGCACACACCCTTTTATATTCTTTTATAATATATGTATATTAAATATATTAAAATGATATGACTATATTATTTATATTCAATGAAGAACAATATGGGAAACTAACCAAGATTACTGACACAATCTGTGAAAGGAGAGTGCAGTTTAGTTGCCATTGATGAAAAAGTAAACAATAAGTGTGCATCAGCTTATAATATGGGATCCAAATTATATGGAAAGGTCAATGGGTAGACCAGCAAGAACCTTTATTGGTCAATACATAGATGACACTGGAATCAGAAAAGAAGAAGTGGGTAGAGCTATAGATGACAGAAATGTTTGGAAAGAAGTGGTCAGAAGTGTGTGCATGACGATGATCAGATAAATTTTAGAGATTTATAGTCTTATTAATATTTACTATATTTTCTGTATTTATGAACATTTACTGCATTTTTGAATATTTACTATGTTTATTGCATTTATAAATATTTGCTATAATTACAGTATTTATGAAAATTTTGTTATATTTACTGCATTTATAAATATTTGCTATATTTACTGTATTTATGAATATTTGCTATATTTATTGTATTTATAAATATTTGCTATATTTACTGTATTTATGAATATTTGTTCTATTTGCTGTATTTATAAATATTTGCTATATTTACTGGATTTATGAATATCTACTATATTTACTGAATTTATGAAAATTTAGTTAAAAATGCTAATTTTGTCTTGAAGGTTTAACATTACATTTTCATAAAATTCAATGTAATTTTGTTTTCTTACCTAACATTATAATTCTTTGAAAAATCCTTTCCATATAGATCTAATGCATACTTAAAAACCCACAGACATAAAAAAGAAAATTGCCACACATGCTCGTATACAGAGAATAGAAAGTATACAAACAAAGAAATATACATATATGTTATACACTGATAAAAAATACATCCACATGTAAAAAGAACTTAACAATTATATCTGTCCTGGATCTTGGATTCTAGACCTGACCCATCCTTCAGTTTACACATTGAGCCTGTTTTAGGAAGTAAGTTCTTATAAGATGAGTATTGCAAGCTACATTTTGATATCTTTACTTATAGCTAGGAAGGTACTAATTAAATAAAAATAGGGATACATTTGGAAATGGGATAATTTTTGTAGATTAACATTTATTAGAGCTTCCTCAAGACATGACATTTGCCAGAATAAAAAAAAATTGATTTTTATCCTTTTAAAAGGAGTCCCTATTCATAATATAAAAACATAAATTGGGATAAAAAAGGATATTGCAGTTATCAGTGATGCAAGCTGTTTCAAACTTGATATTTGTAAAT